GTATTTAAGGGCCAGAAGGTTGAGAACCACTGTTTTAGGGTCTCATAAGACCTCATAATGTACTTATGACAGCTTCATGACAAATTTTATATTTTATATCCTTACAACTGCAAAGGCGCTTCCCGTCCACAGAGCAGAGCATTTCCCTGTATCTAAAAGCATTAACACTTAGTTTTTCTCCACACTAGGAAAAATGTGGAGGGTGGGCTTTTTCAGGCTTTAAACTCTCTCAGTTTTCTAACTTTACATCCTCCTTCATTCTATGGAGGGAGCACAGTGTCGGCTTCTCTGATTTGTTGCTCATCTCTTAGGTTTCAGCTTCTCCCTCGGGTGCCATCTCTTCCGGACAGGATCGCACAGAACTCAGCACAGACATCTCCGGGGCTCAGGCCCTCCTAGAGGCCACTGTCTGTCTGGTGCTCTACCTTCCACTCTGGCTGCATCCGCTGATTCCTGGGGCTGGGCCTGGGCGTCCAGCAGGGATGGGTAAGCCGGCTGCCCTGCCAGGGCCTCGGGCGCATATTTCCTGTAGACGCGGCAGCTGAGCAGGTCCCTGAGAGCGCTGTCATCGAGGCGCTCTGGCAGAGCCAGCAGCAGGTCCTGGGCCAACTCCATGGGCACGGCCAGCTCAGCCAGGATCTCGTCATCCAGAACCTGCCATCGGGAGAAGCTCTCACTGCGGGCAGCCCTATGAGCACAGAGGCCCAGGGGACGGGGTAGGGGTGGGGGTCTCTGCATATGCCTTCTCCATCCTGAACCTGTCATGGCTGGCAGCTGGCTCCTCCCAGACGACTCGCCAACTCCTCCGAACTTAGACCCCTTCCCTGCAGCCCCTTCCACTATCAACCTCCATGTCCCACCGGAGCCCTCCAAATGCTCTAGCCCAGTGCAGCCCGTGCAGTGGAGCCCCCCAGCTTCGGGGTCTACCTCCCCATCCAGGTTCTCCTGGAGGATCTGCAGAACCTCCTGGTGGTCAGGCCCATCCAGCTTCTTGATGAAGAAGAGGAGCTCCCACCACTCGGCCTGGGTCAGGTGTTCGCTCTCCTCCGTGTCCTCATCCTCAGGCAGCACGTAGGGCACGGCATAGAGCTCTGCCATGGGCTTCCATCGCCAGGAGGGCAGGGCTGTGGAAATGGGGCATCAGGCACAAGGATCACTGCCCAGCCAGCCAGACCACCGCTCCCGTGCTCAAAGCTTACTCCAGCTCACCCTCTGGGCTCACCTACACCCTGGGCTCCACTGCCCACTGCCCCCCGGTACTCATCAGCCTCCACCATGTCCTCGATGTCTTCCTCAAAACCCAGAATCTCCAGCATGTGCCAGTGTACCCAGTAGGTGCGGCCAGTAGATTCCCACAGCACCTGGAAGAACATGGGGAAGGAGAGGAAAGGGGAATAGAAAGCTCACTTAATGACTGGCTGTGGCCACATGGTGAGGACACACAGCCCTCAGGTGACCCCTGGCCAAAACACTGACACATGGAGAGCATGGACACAGCCTTCCCCTACGGGCACTGGCCCTGCCTCTCCTCTCACCTACACTTCCTCCTGTCCTCCACTACCCTGACTCCCTGGCCCTTTGGGAAAGCCTAACTGTCTCAGTTACCTTCCTGGGAGTCTTCCTGACCTCAGAGCCCTCTAAACCCAGATTTTTCCAGCCTTCCAAATGGCCCCCTTCTCAATAGACCCCTCTTTGACCATTTCAATTCCCTTGGGAGTTTTCTCCTTGGGTGGCCTGCCAGAGTCCCCTGCATGGAGGCCCCATCAGGGTCCCACCACCATGCGCTCTCACCTGCACAGGGGGCACGCCATTGTTGCTCTGCTGGAACTTGCCCTCGTCCCCAGCACTGATCTCCTCGTAATCATCCAGCATCCGCACGCGCATCCCCGGCTGCAGGGTATCCCGCACATACAAGGCATAGGTATTGCCACTTGCGAACTCAGAGCGAGGGCGAAACCGCCTTGACCTCCTGAGGGAGGACTGGGCCTGGGTGGGTGGCAGCCCTAGGCCTGCATCTGCCAGCTGGGGCTGGAAGATGGAACAGGAGGACCGAGCCAAGGGCCCCTGTCTGCTGGAGGCCCAATCCCAGCGCATGGCCTGCACCAGCTCTGAGATCAGGGTGCCCATGGCCATGCTGAATTCCAACTCCAGCCGACCCCTCTCCCTGCTCAACTCCTCGGGAGCAGAGCTGTTCTGGGCTCCTGGTTCTGCAGCACTGTCATTCAGCTGATCCAGGAGGGAGGTGACATGCAAATAGCGCTTCACCAGGGAGAAGAGCAGCCGTCCTGGGACCTGTAGGACACAGTCTTTGGCCCATGTCCACTTTGTCCCAGCTTTAGCCCCTCTCTCCACACCATCCTCTATGGACAGGTGTAAAGGCCTGGTTGCTAGATCTTCACAGCTCCACCCCCAATGCCCCTGACAGTACCTGTGGCAGCTGAATGCCCTCGAAAGACATGGGGTGTTCAGAGAGTGTGGCCTGTGCAAACAGAGCCAGCAGGGCGCAACGGCTGTCAAAATCCAGGTGCTTCTCAATGGCCTCTTGCTGGCTCAGTGACAGAAGAATCTGGGTCCGGGTCCCTGTAACCCACACCCCAATCAGTAACTGCTCCCTAACCTTAACTTTCCCAGGCATCTCTCCTAGACCCCCTATACCCTCCAATCCTTTTCCCACCATACACTAGGAATGACATGATTTGCTTCGAAAGCCAAAACTTGCTTTTTCATATATATGAATGAATATATATA